CATTTAACATGTTACAGGATTAATTCATTTTGATCATTAAATATAATATTTCTTTAATAAAACTAATAAACTCAAAATAAACCATAAAATTTATTATTTGATAAATATACAAAATACAAATCAACTTTTTAATATAAACCCTATTATATTACTTAAAAGGGTTTAAAATTTGTGCGCACCCGCGCATGTGCGCACCCCCACGTGATTTATTAATTTTATAAAATTTAATTGGCTAGCTAAGCATACAATCAATAATTTAATTTTATTTGTTGATTTTTTTACACACGATCATATTACATCTCTTTTTTTTCGTATTATACCCTTCTTTTTTTAAAGCTTCGCTTAACAATTAACGTTAAAAATTTAACCCTTCCCCCTATCGTTTTTCGGTATTTTTCTAGCTTTAACTTTGAAAATGGTAAGTTTAAGTGTTAATATGTAGCTTTTTTGACGTATTTTATTTCTTTAATTAACTGATATTGTTCTTTTTTTTTATAGGTGTTTTAAATCTCGGCTGGTTAGTAGTATTCTTTTACATTTACTTAAACCTGGTTGCTTTTTCTTTTTGGGCGCGACTTTCTACTCAAGAGTATTCAATATGAAAAGGGGAGATCGGTTCCTTTGTTGTAGGCTTAGGTACAGGTTTCTACACGTTACTTATAGGTATTATTATGTTCTTCTTTCTTGTTTTCGTTCGTTCTTTCATTCTTTATTGCTAATTTTGATTTCTTTTCGGGTATGATTTTCTACTTCTTCTGTAGGACTAGGTACGGCTTTGTTTTTATGCTTTTCTTTTTTATTTTCATTCTTTTATGTTCTTTCTTTTATTTTTTGCGCTAATTTCTGTTTTCTTTTAGGTGCAACCTTCCACTTCGCCTGTAGAACTAAGTGCAGCTTTCTACTTTATTTGATGTAAGTTTTTCTTCTTTATTTTTATTTTCTATTCGTTTTTTCATTCATTCTTCGTTGCTGATTTTGAATTTCTCTCTCTTGTAACTTAGGTACAGCTTTCCACTCTCTTATAGGTACAGTATTTTATACTTTTCTTTTTTTGTTTTAGTTCTTTTATTCATTTTTTGTTACTAACTTCGGTTTTCTTTTTTAGATATAGTTTCTAAACTACTGAACACTTACTTCGCGGGTAAAGATATAGGGGAAAATGGACGTGAATTTGTATTTAGGCATATTTATTTATTGAATACTTCTTTCTCCAGAAAGGGATATATTTGAAGAATGTTTTTATTTAGGAGATCCATAATAAAAGCGCCAGAAAATATTAAACTCGTCGCCATTTTCTTTTTTCTTTTAATCTTTAATCTTTTTAGCAACTTTTATTTTTGGTTGTTAGGTCTAAATTTTTAGATGGTTTTTAAATTAGTTCCGTAATGTAGAAATATCAATTACTGTAATATTCTATATTGTAAAGAACGAATTTGTCTTAATAAATTCACTTTAAATGATTTAATAAAATAAAATACAAAGAAAAGGTATCATTTAAATAAAGTTGAGCCAAAATATCTTTATTATATGATTAAAAAATACAATATTAGGTTAATGCATACGTTGCGCTAACTGTTATCTATAAAAAATAATACGTTTAAATTATTTGCCTTTACGATTTGGATTGCGTATGCATGTATTTGAGTAATGCCCAACTTCGCCACAAATTTTGCAGTGGCGTTTATTTTTGCTAGAAATTTCAGTAACACTTTTAATCCTTTTCGTTCCTTTTGGTCTTCCTTTTTTAGGTCTTTTCATGGGATTTTGAAGATGTAAAAAACTGCAATCATTTTCTTCATCATTTTCTTCGTCATTTTCTTCGTCATTTTCACTAGACTCAACATCCAAATTAAGATCTGGTTCATTATTTCTACTATCATTATTCTCCAAATTTCCGTTTTCATCAAGATATTCTTTAAAAATCTCAAAAATTCGTGTATCATGGTTTTCAACCGCTTTAAGAGTAACTTTTTTTGCCATTCCCATTACTTTTCCATAAAAAATTCTTTCATCTAAATTTGTTTTGCTTTTTTGATCCCATTTATCAACATTATTTTGAATCATAGCTGTTAAATATGGAACTTCTTGATTTTTAGACTGTTTTGGTAATTCTGTATTCTGAAATTTAGCAGCATACACAAAAGGTTCATTTTTTCCATTTAATTCAGGATTCTTATACCACCGTTTCCTAATAAGTCGAATATGAAATGTTGCTGCATGTGTATGCATCATAAGACTAAAATAATGACGGCAAACAATGCCTCTTGTAATTGTTGCTAAACATGAACACAAATGTGCCGAATTGTTCATTAAAAGGATAAAATGCTTGAATTTTTGAGTATTTTGGACTGAGACTCCCCAAACTTCTTTAATTTCTTCTTGGTTAACATGATTAAAAATTGACTTAATACATGCTTTACGTTCATCAGGTAAATCTTCTAAAAATCCTGTAGTATTCATTTCCTTAAATTTAATTATTTTTAAGATATAAAAATCTTAGCTATACTTTTAATATATAATGAAATAAAGAAGCTAAGAATTTTTTCATACCTGTTCAAATATATTAAACTGGTTTAAGTCAAATTGTTCACATCTATAATACACACTTTGATTTATTTCTTGAACTTGAAGGTTATATAATGGGTCTGTTAGATAATTTTTTATAATTGTTTCAACTGCAGGAAAAAGAAAATTTGCAGTTTGTGAAACAATTACACAAGGAATAACTGATTTCCAAAATGCATATTCTTTTTGACGTTCTTCTTCTTGATGACGGCGAGTTATTGTCTTATTAAGTTGAACTAACGAAGTATTAGAATTAATGAGTTCTTTTTTCAGAACTGCATTTAAACCTTCTACTCGTGAAGTTGTTTGTGTTGCTGCAGTAAAAATTGTTGAGGTATAACAAAAAGCCCAATATGTTTTGGATTTATACAAATTATTCAAATAATTAGAAATCTGCTTATATTTCTCAACTAATTCATGAAATAAGCGCTCAAATCTTTCTTGACTTAAACTATTTCTAGCATTATAAAATTCATTTAAAAATTGGGAATAATTTTCGCCCAAAGGTCCAAAAAGATTTTTATGCAGATTTTGATTAATATGGTATATGCAGTGCATTGCATAACAGCCTTTATAAACTCTAATACATGCAGCGTCCACAGCAGGATCTGAATCAGTCATAAAAACCAATGGAATTAATCCTCCATTTATATTTTCATTTTGTCTTTTACCACCTGTGGCAAGTAAAGTACATTCAAGAATCCATATATGTGCATCAGCCGTTTCGTCATCAACAAGTGCCTGACATACTAATCGTGAACAATTACGATTATCAATAGCAACAAATAGTGATAATGCCATATTGTATCTATTTGTTCTGTAAGTTATATCATTAATTATAACATCATGATATTGTATCCAAAGCTCTATTTGATTAGGACTCATCCAAAATAATCTTCTCAACACTTTTGTTTCATCAAAATCAACAAAAATTTGCCATCTAGTATCATTATCCTTTAATTTAATAAGATATTCATAAAGTTTTGATGCATCATTACTTAAATCTTTAGCTGATGGTCGATATTTTTGTATCTCACTGCGAAGAATATCAGATCGAATTTTTTGTTCAGGATATTTTTCTTCAAGATAAATTCTTTGTTGTGTTGTGGAAAGATGAACATGTTTTGTTAAAAATTCAATATCCTTTAGCATTTCTTCTGACATCATTACTTCATTCTCATAATTTACAAGCTGACAGTTAAGTTCATGACAATGATCATTGGAAATAGTAGTAACATATACATATTGATTGATATTGTCCCTCTCCGGTCTTGATAAATTAATATGTGCTTTACAACCCATCTGAATTGATTTATTGATTTTTTTTTTGGATTTTTCTTTATTTGTTTGCAGCTCAGTTAATGGTTTCCTAGATTTGCCAGCATGTTGACAAATAATTGTCAATTTTCGATATTCACCTTCTGCATTACGTTCAGAACGGTTGAAACGTGTTTGGAAGCCTTGAATATTACACCATTTTTGAACATATTCAATAGCAGTATCCCATGTAACAAAATATTGGCCAATATAAAGTTGTTGTTGTTCATTAGAACTTGTAGAACTTGCCATTTCCGTATACAAATTAAAGTATGGATAACGCGCACGATGTAAAAACAAATAAAACAAAATTGTTGGTTCGATGTAAAATTTTTTTTTTCCTTAAAAAATCAATGATCAACAACACACATAATGACATAACACGATTTACAAAACTGATTAATCATCTACTTTATCATTTTTTATTGAATTTATTAAAGAAAAACTCATTCTTTACAATGTAAAAAATTACAGTAATTATTTTCTACATTTACGAAACTAATTTAAAACCTTGACCTATCAACAGAAAAATAAAAGTTGCTAATAGATTAAAAGAAAAAAGAAAATGGTGACGAGTTTAATAACATTTTCTGGCGCTTTTATTATGGATCTCATTTTATTGTTCTAAATAAAAACATTCTTCAAATATATCCCTTTCTGGAGAAAGAAGTATTCAATAAATAAATATGCCTAAATACAAATTCACGTCCATTTTCCCCTATATCTTTACCCGCGAAGTAAGTGTTCAGTAGTTTAGAAACTATATCTAAAAAAGAAAACCGAAGTTAGTAACAAAAAATGAATAAAAGAACTAAAACAAAAAAAGAAAAGTATAAAATACTGTACCTATAAGAGTGTGGAAAGCTGTACCTAAGTTACAAGAGAGAGAAATTCAAAATCAGCAACGAAGAATGAATGAAAAAACGAATAGAAAATAAAAATAAAGAAGAAAAACTTACATCAAATAAAGTAGAAAGCTGCACTTAGTTCTACAGGCGAAGTGGAAGGTTGCACCTAAAAGAAAACAGAAATTAGCGCAAAAAATAAAAGAAAGAACATAAAAGAATGAAAATAAAAAAGAAAAGCATAAAAACAAAGCCGTACCTAGTCCTACAGAAGAAGTAGAAAATCATACCCGAAAAGAAATCAAAATTAGCAATAAAGAATGAAAGAACGAACGAAAACAAGAAAGAAGAACATAATAATACCTATAAGTAACGTGTAGAAACCTGTACCTAAGCCTACAACAAAGGAACCGATCTCCCCTTTTCATATTGAATACTCTTGAGTAGAAAGTCGCGCCCAAAAAGAAAAAGCAACCAGGTTTAAGTAAATGTAAAAGAATACTACTAACCAGCCGAGATTTAAACCACCTATAAAAAAAAAGAACAATATCAGTTAATTAAAGAAATAAAATACGTCAAAAAAGCTACATATTAACACTTAAACTTACCATTTTCAAAGTTAAAGCTAGAAAAATACCGAAAAACGATAGGGGGAAGGGTTAAATTTTTAACGTTAATTGTTAAGCGAAGCTTTAAAAAAAGAAGGGTATAATACGAAAAAAAAGAGATGTAATATGATCGTGTGTAAAAAAATCAACAAATAAAATTAAATTATTGATTGTATGCTTAGCTAGCCAATTAAATTTTATAAAATTAATAAATCACGTGGGGGTGCGCACATGCGCGGGTGCGCACAAATTTTAAACCCTACTTAAAATATATATAAATAATTACTGAATAATGCAATAATTATATTATAACTCACTAACAATACCAAATTACCCTAGTTTATAAATAATTTTTTGTTTACCTTTTTAAAAAAAAGAAAAATAATAAATTTTTTTTTTCATAAAATAGTTTGCTTAAAAGCATTATCAAATATATAAAATTATAAAGAAATAAAAATAATGAAACGGTTTAAAACTCCGTAGAGAAAAATTCTTTTATGCTTTAAAAACCAAAAAAATGAAAAAAAAAATAAATAAAATTTATTTCAAATAATAAATAATTAAAAAATGGGTGTTAAAAAATTATTTTTAAATAGAAAATAGTGGTTTTATAAAAAAAAAAAATAATTAAAAATCGATTTAAAAACCATTAAAAAAAATGTAAAAAAAAAGAGCCCATTATATAATGGCCAAAAATGAAATATGATTAATAAAGGGAATATTACTTTTTTTTCGTTTACGTCATCATTAGCAAAAAAAAACCCTCTAACCGGGATAGATCGGGCGCAGGCATGTCACGGGACACAATTCTATGGAGGGTTTTTCTAAACGTCAGAAGAGTATAAATCTCTCAAATAGTAAAAAAAGACTAATATATTTATAAAAATATATAATACAAATAATTAGTATTATAAAAATATAGTGATAGCACAATGTCTTTATATGTACTAAAATATTATTAAATATTGTCAAGAATTTAAGAAACAATCTCCTCGCTTTGATCGTCACATAGGGCTTCTTAATAATTAGAAAGTTAAGTATTTTTCTTTATTAGGAATGTTAAGTGAGAAAAAAGTAGCGTGACGGGGACTTGCTGGGTCGTCGTCATTCAAGGCGCTTACTTGACAAAATAAAATTATTAAATTAGTTTAAATCTCTCCGATTTTTAGATTATCTGTTATCGTAATGTAATAAATCTACATAAATTACTATAGAAAGGTTATTTATACTAAAAGAAAACTTCATACAATAAAGTAACATCAATTTTCTTTACACTACTAGTGAAACCAAGGATAAAGATATGTAGCAGAATTAATTGGGTTTTGTTAACTAAGTATTAACGATTAACAAAGATCATCGAAAAATAACTTCAATACTCTCCCTTTTAAAATAACTAATACAAAGAAAATTTTATATTTAAAGAATAAGAAAATAGGATAATATAACTATACAAATGTTGAAAAATGATTTCTTTAAATAAGATTTGTGATTATCGAGAAATTTATCTATATGGAAAAAAAATAAAATAACTAATTATTAAACTTTTCTGAATCCTGAAATTTTTGACTGCTGATGGCTACGACTTGAAGGGGAATTAAAAACTGCGATGAGATATAATTTAACGATAAAAGGAGAAGTATACCAACATCATAGATTCAAGACAGCCGTAAGTACAATAATAAATGAGTTGAGGAAGGAATTAAAGATACCAATAACGGGGTCAAATAATATAAGAATTGTGGTAACAAATGGCAAAGAGTAGCACGATGGGATGCCTTAAGAATTACACGATAAAATTCTTAAAATTGGTTTAAACAGCAGCCATCAAACATTCAAATGACAGATATGTACTAATAAAGGATTATTGTACAACGAAAAGTATTTAAATTCGTGTATCAGTTAGATTTTTTTTTTAGTTCATACAGAAATAAATAATTTAATAGTTTAAAATAGTTTCCTAAATTAAAAATGTCAACTATTCAGAAAAAATATTGAAAAAATATTAAAATTTCCTAATTTTTTTTACAATTGGATTTCAATCGAATTTATTGACATATAAATAATTTACTATCTGTCTGTTTATTTATTTTACAGGTGGAAGTTACCGGTTAAGATCAGTATTCTTATATATTATCAAAATTTTAATGTATGAAGAAACATGTGTAAAAGTAGTACTGGAAATAGGTTACTACTCACTGGCGATTTTTTTTTTGATTTGTTAGTAATATTATTATGTTATTTTTTTTAGTAATTCAAATGTGATATATACGGTATTAACTTTTTTTCTTTTTTTTCGTTCTTTTTCTTGCTAAGTTGAATGATTTATTAGATTATGTATCCATATAAACGAAGTCAAATACGGAACTAATAAAAAAATATTGCATAATCTATTTTTACAAGAAACTATCCTAAGAATTGAAATAAACCTGCTTAATACATATAATTTTCGTACAAACTAACTAATTTTTGTTATACTACATACGTTAAACTAATTTATTTAACTATTTGATGACTTCGTATCATCTTTCTTTTTCTTCTTAATTCCTCTATAAACTCTCAAAATATCCTTCCTTTTTGACTCTTTTATTATTCTTATTTTCTAAATCTTCTCTCAAAGTTGCTAAGATGTTATCCGAGGAAATTATGTCACCTGCCGTAACGTCCATTCTTCTTTCTCTCATTATTCTTTCTCGCCAAAATCGCATCATTTTTTACTTTTTCTGATTGAATTTCCCTAAATTTTTAAATCGATTTACGATTTTCTCTCTAGATGTACTATAAGTATCATCTTCATCTTGCCTTTTTAATTCCTTTTCTTTTAAACTTCTGCTTCTTTCAAAATTTCTTGATATGTAATTCCATTAATACAGACTTTTTCATTACTTTATGAATAAACAAACTTATTGTAAATGTTGAATACATAAAAAATTCCATCATTTACGAAAGTCGTAGTTAAAAAATTTCCAAATTTCCAAATTAGATTCTTTTGATATTTTCATGAGTTTATTAAAAAAATTTCATAAATAAATTATCATTTTGCAATTATCGAAATTATTCATATTAAGGATGTTAATTTGTCAATTTGTTACGATAGTCACCGGTTTATACTGTTACGGTAATCATTAAATCAGTATATCATTCCATTTATGTTCTTTATTTTAGACTATTATTATAAAAAAAAAAAAGTAAATATTGATCGGAACGCTTTTAAACAAACACTCAATATACATATATATTAGAACGTAATCGAAACTTATATAAAAAAAAATTGCTATGCAAGCTTAAAATTGTGTTCATGTTCATAGTATTCAGTTTATCCACGTCTCTAAAAATAAAAAATAAGTTCGATCGAAATCTTACCATTAATTCTGGTTAAAAAAAAAATTTTTTAAAGAAATGGCACATACTAAATAAATTTCTAATCAATTTTCTAAACGATCAAGGATTATTCACGTGATCGATTACATGTGATCAGTTAAATCAATTTCGATTCAAATCATCGATCAATTAATTAAATCCACTAATTCTACATTTTCATTTTTATTTTTTTATTTTCATTTGTTTATATAATTATTCAAGCTTTACTTAAATTTCAAAAATTCTACATTTTATAATCAAATCATAACGTGTAATTTGATAATTTATATATAATTTATTGATATTTAATGTAAAAAAAATTATTTAAATTACAAACTAAGAATTTTGAAAGAAATTTCTTCTTACTACTCTAGTCTTAGTGTTTAAATAATTTATAATAATGATAAGAAAATATTTTAGATAATAATAATATTGTTGTTATTCAACTATAAAATTTATCTTGTATTTAAATTTCTAAATTTAAAATAATAATAAAAAAAAAAGAAATATTGAGTTATTTAAAGTTCAATAAAATTTCAACATTCTTTTTTTAAAATAAAAAAATTAATTACCATCAGGAAGTTCAAATTCATTTTGTTCTTCTGAATGGAAATTTGGATTATTATATATTTCATCCTCGTCTATAAAAATAAAAATTAGAGTAAAAAAAAAACCAAATACAAATTTAATCAATTATTATTAATAAGTTAGATATTTTACATACCATCAAAATTATTATCATTTTTCTTTACTTTGTGTTGCATTGTTTCCTCTTTATAATTATTTTGAATATCTAAAAAAAATTTAAATAAAATTATGTTTAATATTAAATAATTAAATTAATATAATGATTATTATTCTTTTTACTTGCCATTCTTTGAATTCCTTTTAAAAATTTTGGATAACTTCTTACTACCAACTAAATAATTCATATAAATTAATATTTATATATTTAATTATTTTAATATAAGAGAAATATATTATCAATTAAACTACCTTTAAATATGCTACTTAATTTTGATGTACTATTCTTCTGATTATTCACTTTATCAAAATCATCAACTAATAAAATTCAAATAGATAAATAAAATGTTTTATTTATACCATTAAATATGAAACCAATAACACTTACTATTATCAGGAATATTAAAATCAAGTGATTTACTATGAAATGCTATAAAATTTATTATAATAAATAATTAAACATTTAATAATATTTATATAAAGTAAATAAACTTAAAAATAATTCATACCTTCTAATTCTTCTATTGATTTAAATTAAAAAAATAAGATATCAATTTATAAAATATATTAATAATTTTTTATATATTTATTAAAAGATTTTAATTAATATAATACCTTCTGTTGCATTTTTAGGTTTAGGAAGATTGTCAAATTGATGAAGTTTACTTGTAAATAAACTACTGCTGTTACTTGTATAAGTTTCTGAACTATTTATATCTAAACTATCATTTTCTTCTAGTTGAATTAAATCATTTGATTTAGTTTGATAAATTAGATTAAGCTTATCTATTTCACCTGAAAGCGTTTTAATATTAGGCCGTTTTAATGGATCAGCATCCCAACATTGTTTCATTAAATTTTTGTATTCTAAAGGAGTTCCTGGTACAATTTTTGGTCTTATACCATTAACAATATTCATAGCAAGATCATAATCATGTTCATAATTAAAAAATGGTGGTTGTCCAGATGAAATTTCCCACATAAGCATTGCAATACTATAAATATCAGATTTATAAGTCTGTTCTTTTCCAACAATAACCTCAGGTGCTATATAAGGAAGGTTTCCATATATACTTTTTAATGGTTTATCTGCAGGTCCGCAAAATCCAAGATCACTAATACCACATCCTTGGCCAGTCTTGAATAATATATTTCCAGAATGCAAATCTCTATGAATTGCATACTCATTATGAATTCTTGACAGTGCATCAATTATATCAACAGCTATTTGAATTTTTTCTTTCCATGTGAGTTTTTCATGATTTTGTTGTAAATATTTTCTTAAATCTATATTCATTTTATTCATTACAAGCATATAATTTCCATTTGATGGATCCTGTGTTAAACCAAAACATTGGATAATTGAATTCCACTTATTGCTTATATATAAATGTGATTTAGCCTAAAAATGAAAAAATGGTTAAATTTGAAAATATTACAAACTTTTAAATATTTAAATTATTACAAACCTCTTCAAACCAACTTTGATTGCATTTTCAATATTTTCTAATTTTTAAGCACTATATTAAAATTTCCAAATCTTTTTAATTGTTGTTTTTTAGAATCCCATTCTTCATATCTTCCATTAATCCATGTTGCTGTATAAATTTCTGAAAATCCACCTTTTGTTAGATATTTAACATTTTTAAAACTATTATATGGAATCCATTCTGGTATTTTATATGTGGTAATTGATTTCATTTGACATTCTTGTATTAAATTATCAATATCATTGTTTCCAGATGTCCAATTTGAAAAATTTGCTTTTAAATAATTTCGAACACAAAGTTCACAAAATAATGTAGCCAAACATTCTTGGTTACAATTTTCACAAATTCTTTTTGTCCCTTTATTATAACAAAGTTTATCTTGATCATAACCTTTAGTTAATATTCTTATTGCTTCAGATTTTTCATTCTCTGTAAGTGATTCATCAGCAAGAATTGTTTGTTTTTGGAATTTATCTTGTTTATGTATGTTGTTATAAATATTATAATCCGTTAATGCAAATGCCCTATTAATTGCAGCATTAACTGATTGATTATTACCAAAAGACATAATGAATAAACTACAAAAGCTTCAAATTTCTTAGAAAAGGATATTTATTTATTTTATTTTGAAATAAAAAAAAGTTATACGAACGGGAAAAGTGTTCTAATACCTTATAAAGTTTTCATGTAACTCATATGAATGTTGTTCACTGTTACATTAAGCCAAATAAGCCAAATACAACGTACCACATGAATTTATGTGCAATGCAAATCCTTTTTTTTTTTTAAAAAGGTTATTTATATTATGACGATTTCTATTGGATGTTCAAAACACGGGTTTTCAAAAAAGTAAATTTTCTATGCTGATCATTTAATGTTGGGCAGAATTAAATTTAACGAAAAAACAGGAAAAAAAAAGAATTTGTTAAATAAAATAAATAAAATAAATCAACAAAATCAAACTTTGACGCTTTAAGAAAAATTGCAGAACAGACAAAAATACACATACTGCATGTTCCTATTAAAATTATATTTATTAAAAATTATTTTTACATAACTTTTTAACGAAGTCACGTGATACGTGTATGAACACCCAGTGTAAATTAAGAAATTTTATATTAGTATATTATTTTGATTATAATGAAAATTTTTTTTTCATAAATAATTTATCACATATTTAATCTGTACTTGTGTTATACTTAATGTAAGAATTTTCTGACCGAGGTCGTTAAAGAAGTAAAGAAGTGCGTGCTACCAATAAAAAAAAAAAAAATTTTTTTTTATAAATTAAACATTATAAACATTATAGACTTTAGACTTATGTAGTACCTTACATTCTACTGAACTTATTACAGTACATGAATGATTACAAACTGAATGTAGTACTTTCGTCTATTAATATTCAGTGATCACAAATAATCCAAACCATACTTTAAAATTTATATAAAGAACAAATCAACCAGTAAATTGTTACAATAATATATCTATCTCAAATAATAAAATTATAAAAAAGACTAAATTATATTTATAGTAATATAACATATAATACAAATGCTTTTATAAAAAGCAAAAAAAAATAAAATAAAAATAAATTGTAAAAAGTAAAGTATTTATACGTACTAACTGAAAGAACTGTAATGAATTAATGATTACTAAAACAAAATTTAAAAGAATTCAACCAATTAACGATATTATCGAACGGATAAATACAGGAAAATAAGGAAACAGTCTCATCGCCTTTTAATACAAATATTCTTTTTTTTAAAAAAAAAAAAAAAATCGTACGGTATTTACCTGAATAGGGCAAGGAACTTGATAGTTTTGATCTTCTGTTAGCTTTGTTGGGTTTAGATAAATTATTAAATTCTAATAATCTACCATGATAAATAACTTCAGGATGACTAACATAAAGAAGAGGAGTAGCATTTCTATATACTTCATCATTAGCCTAACATTGATCGTGAATTTCGGTCTCTTTATCATTTTGCATATCATTTCATTCCACCATTGAGTTACTAGTAAGTCTTTTAATTCTTTGGCTTCGAAGGGCAGCTAGAGGGGTTCGTACCCAAACACATTTTAATTAATCATTCTAATAAATTTGGAGTATGCATCAGAATTTCTGGTCTTTCTCCTAGATTAATTACAGCGGCTTGTTGGTTATCATTTATCATGATTACACTAGATCATTCGCACTCGAAAATCTTTTAGTAACACTTTATAAAATTTCTTTCCACTTAATACTGAAGTGAATTTGATATTATTTCATAGTTTGACAGAAAATTGAGCATGCTTTATTATTTTATCAACATTTTCATTTTCATTTTTCCATTTTTCATTTGTCTATATAATTGTTCAAGCTTTGCTTAAATTTTCAAAATTATAATAATTTATGTATAATAATAATTTATTGATACTTATTTAATATGATATGATATAAAAATAATTATTTAAATTACAAACTAAGAATTTTGAAAGAAATCTCCTTTTACTACTCCAGTCTTAATGTTTAAATAATTTACAATTTAAAAATAAAGTATTATTTGCTATTAAATGGTTTAAAACATCTTTTAAAACACGCAAAACATGTTTTGAACCGCCGAAGTAATTTTAAGACATGTTTTTTGCTACTTTTGCGTTTAGGAAGTTTCGATTCATTTTGTTTTTCTGAATGAATATTTAATTCATTATCACCTGTCAAACGTACATTAAATTAAAAAAAATTAAAATACACTAAAATAAACATCAGTATAATAGTTATTTAACGTACCATCAATGTTAGTATAATGTTTCTCTTCTTGCTTTTGCATTGTTTCAATTTTATAATTACTTTGGACATCTAAAAATTTATATTAAGTTAAGTGCCATTTTTTTGAGAATTCTTTTTTAAATATATTATACGTTTTTTAAAGAGTAATTCTTACTTTCAGGAAGTTCTAATTCATTTTGTTCTTCTGAATGAAGATTTGGATTATTATATATTTCATCATCGTCTATCAAGTATAAATCAAAATTAAAATAAATTTAATATCAAAACAATCATGATAATTCTTCAACATACCATCAACATTAGTATAATGCTTCTCTTCTTGCTTTTGCATCGTTTCAATTTTATAATTACTTTGGATGACTAAAATGTATATTAATTTAGTATTATATTTAAGAATTTTTTTAAATATATTATATTTTTAAAGAGTAATTCTTACTTTCAGGAAGTTCTAATTCATTTTGTTCTTCTGAATGAATGTTTGGATTATTATGTATTTTATCATCATCTACCAAATATAAATCAGAATTAAAATAAATTTAAAAATACTAAAATAATCATGATAATTCTTTAACATACCATCAACATTAGTATAATGTTTCTCTTCTTGCTTTTGCATGATTGTTTCAATTTTATAATTACTTTGGATGTCTAAAATGTATATTAATTTAGTATCATTTTTAAGGTTTTTTTTAAATATAAAAGAGTAATTCTTACTTCCAGGAAGTTCCAATTCATTTTGTTCTTCTGAATGAATGTTTGGATTATTATATATTCCATCATCATCTACCAAATATAAATCAGAATTAAAATAAATTTAAAAATACTAAAATAATCATAATAGTTCTTTAAATATACCATCAACATTAGTATGATGCTTTTCTTCTTGCTTTTGCATTGTTTCAGTTTTATAATTACTTTGGATATCTAAAAATTTATATTAAGTTAGTGTCATTTTAAGATTTTTTTAAATATATTATATTTTTAAAGAGTAATTCTTACTTTCAGGAAGTTCCAATTCATTTTGTTCTTCTGAATGTAGATTTGGATTATTATACATTTCATTTTCATCTATAAAAATAAAAAATAGAAATACAAATAAATAATCATTATTAATATAAGTTAGATAATTTTACATACCATCAAAGTTATTATCATTTTTCTTTACTTTCAGTTGCATTATTTCCCCTTTATAATCATTTTGAATATCTAAATTAATTTATCGGTTATATAATAAATTATGTTTAATATTAAATAATTAAATTAATATAATATTTTATTATTTTTTATTTGCTACTTAATACTTATATATTTAATTAGATAAGAAAAATATTTTTAATTAATTTACCTTTAATTATACTGCTTATTTTTGATTTACTATTCTTCTGATTATTCAATTTATCGAAATCTTCAACTAAAAAAATAAAATAGATAAATAAAATGTTTTATTTTATAGCATTAAATATAAATTAAATATTACTTACTCTTATTAGGAATATTGAAATCATGCAATTTACTATGAAATGCTAAGATTTATTATAATAAATAATTAACCATTTAATAATATTTATAAAGGAAAGTGAACTTAAAATTAATTCATACCTTCTAATTCTTCTATTGGTTTAGTTTTAAAAAAAAATTAAGATATCAATTTATAAAATATATTAATAATTTTTATATATTTATTAAAAGATTTTAATTAGTAATATAATACCTTCTGTTGCATTTCTGGGTTCAGGAAGATTGTCAAATTGATGAAGTTTACTTGTACTAATTGCATAATTTACCAAACTACTACTATTATTTATTTCTAAACTATCCAGCTGATCATTTGATTGACTTTGATAAAATAAATTAATTTCACTCATTTTATCCCATAATGTATGAATTTCAAGTCTTTTAGATGGATCAACATCCCAGCATTGTTTCATTAAATGTTCATATTCTAAAGGAGTTCCTAGTACAATTTTTGGTCTTATGCCATTAACAATATTCATTGCAAGATCATAATTATGTTCATAATTAATAAATGGTGGTTGTCCAGATGAAATTTCCCACATAAGCATTGCGATACTATAAATATCAGATTTATAAGTCTGTTCTTTTCCAATAATAACCTCAGGCGCTATATAAGGAAGATTTCCGTATATACTTTTTAATGGTTTATCCGCAGGCCCACAAAACCCAAGATCACTAATAAAAAATTTAGCTTTAAATAATATATTTCCAGAATGCAAATCTCTATGAATTGCATTTTCATCATGAATTCTTTCAAGTGCAAGTGCTATATCAGCAATAATTTGAATTCTTTCTTTCCATGTAAGCTGTTTATGATTTTGTTGTAAATATTTTCTTAAATCTACATCCATGTGTGGCATTACAAGCATATAATCTCCGTTTAAAGGATCTTGTGTTAAGCCATAACAACGAACAATTTCACCCCATTTATTGCATATATCTAAATGTAATTTAGCCTATAAAAAAATCATTAAAATTTTAATAAAAAGTTTTATTATTAATTGTTTTATTTGAATTACAAACCTCTTCAATCCAACTTTGGTTTGCATTTTCAATATTTCCTAATCTTTTAAGTACTACATATAGACTTCCAATTCTTTTTAATTGTTGCCCTTCAGAATCCCAATCAAAAAATTTCCCATCAATCCAGTCTGCTGTATAAATTTCTGAAAATCCACCTCTTGTTAGATATTTAATATTTTGTAGATTATTATATGGAATCCATTCTGATATTAGATCTTGGGCAATTATTTTCATTTGACATTCTTGTAATAAATTATCAATAATATCATTTCCAGATGTCCAATTTGAAAAATTTGCTTTTAAATAATTTCGAATACAATTTTCACAATACGTTGTAGCTAAACATTCTTGGTTACAATTTTCACAAATTCTTTTTGTTCCTTCATTAGTAAGAATTTTACTTCTATCATACATTTTATTTAATATATTTACTGCTTCAGATTTTTCATTTTCTTTGAGTGATTCATCGGCAAGAATTGTTTGTTTCCTAAATTCATGTCGTTTATGCTTATCATCATAAATATTGTGATCTAGTATTAAAGCATATGCACTAATAATAGCTGCATTAACTAATGGATTTTTACCTAAAGACATAATGAAATAAATTATGAAAGCTTCAAATTTCTTAGAAAAAGGTATTTATTCATTTGAAATAAAAAAGTTAGAATGTTCTAACACCTTATATGAGATTTCATGTAACTCAAATGAGAATGTTGTTTACTGTTGCATGAAGCCAAATACAACGTGCCACATGAATTTATGTGCATATTTTTTATCAATTATAGTTTAAAGAAAAAATCTTTTCATAAATAATTTATCATATGTTTAATTTATGTACTTGTGTTATACTTATTAGTTTTCATGTGACCCACCCTCTTTTTTCCGTAAAAGGCTAATATTTCCGGAATTAATAACCTTAATATCACTGAATTTATCGAATTATTTACATTTTCCGTGAATGGATCCGTGAAAGGCTCATTTTTACGGAGTTTTTTCTGATAAAATTTTTTATAGAGTCATATGAATGTTGCTTACTGTTACATATAACGTGCATGTGCAATGCAAATCCTTTTTTTTTTTAAAAAAAAAAAATGATAAATCATAGTTTAAAGAAAAATAAATAATTTGTCATGTGTTTAATTTATTTAATTTATGTACTTGTGTTATGTTTATTAGTTTTCATGTAAGTATGTAACTCATATGAATGTTGTTTACTGTTACATAAAACCAAATACAACGTACCACATGAATTTATATGTAATGCAAATCCTTTTTTTTTTTTTTAAAAAAAAAACGATATTTTAAAAATTTTTTTCATAATGATTTATTATATACTATTCAATCGTTATGCTTCGATTGCTTCGTGTTATGCTTAATGTAATAATGATTTTTTTGATTGAGGTCAATAAAGAAGTCGTGTTACCAATAAAAAAATTTTTTTTTTAAAAAAAATTAAACATTATAAAACTGAACTTAAGACTGATGAATCGATGGTCAATTGTTTTTTTAAATTTAATAAATTTATATATAGTACCTTATATAGTACCTTACATTCTACTGAATTTACTATAGTATATGGATGATTACAAACTGAATATACTTTCGTCTATTAATATTCAGTGATCACAAATAATCCCCCGACTTTTAAAATTTATACAAGAACAAATTAACCAGTAAATTGTTATAATAATATATCTATTTCAAATAATATAAAAGACTAATAATATTTTTAATAATATAATATATAATACAAATGCTTTTATAAAAAGCAAAAAAATAAAAATAAAAAAATAAGTGGTAAAAAGTAATATAGTATTTATACATGCTAAAAGAACTGTAATAATTACTAAAAAAAATTATTTTTTAATTTTATGCTTTTTATAAAAAGAATTTATCCAATTAACGATATTATTGAATGGACAAATACAGGAAACAGTCTCATCACTTGGATCTTCGTCCTGATATTCTGAAGCAACTGAATCAATTTGTCGAGATTCTATAAAATAATAAAGGTACGCCTTTTAATACAAATATTCTTTTTTTTTTTAAAAAAAAAAAAATCGTACGATATATTTACCTGAATAAGGCAAGGAACTCGGTAGTTTTGATCTTCTGTTAGCTTTGTTTGGTTTAGGTAAATTATTAAATTCTAATAATCTACTATGATAAACAGCTTCAGGATGACTAACATAAAGAAGAGGAGTAGGAGTGAAGGTAGAATTTCTAGATACTTCATCACTTGCTTTACATTGAGCGTGAATTTCGGTCTCTTTATCATTTTGTATATCATTCCACCATTGAGTTATTAAATCTTTTAATTCCTTGGCAGAAGGTCTGCTAGAAGGGTTCATATCCCAACATCTTTTAATTAAATCTTCTAATAATTTTGGAGTATGCATCGGAATTTCTGGTCTTTTTCCAAAACAAATTTCAGCGGCTAGATGATCATCATGTGCAACACTATTAAAAGGAGGTAGACCTGATATAATTTCATTCATCATTACGCCAAAAGAATAAATATCACTCGCACTTGTAAATCTTTTGGAATATAATACTTCAGGAGCTAAATACGGTAATACACCATAAATTTCTTCCTTATCTCTTAATACTGAAGTAAATTTGATAGTTGGTTTTTTAATACCTATATCGGTAATAAGAGTTTCACCCGTCCCCGTTATTAATACATTTCCCACATGAAAATTATAATGCACATAACCTGAACTATGTATATACTCTAACCCTTGTACTATGCTCGAAAGTATATTTATTTTGCCGTACCAATCCATCGTATTAAATCTTCCGTTTAGATAAGATCTAACACTTCCTTGAATCGCGTATTCCATCACTATCATATAATCATCAGTTTCTGGATAACGCGTCATACCATAGTATTGAATAATCATATTACTATCATGTAATTGTAAATGAGTCTTTACGATCTATTAAATGGTTTTAAGATTAGTTAGTAAATAATATTATTTAAAATAAACAAATACATACAAATTAATATTCTATACCTGATCAAGAAATTCCATTGTGACAAATTGAGAATTATGTATACGTTTAAGCGCAACAAGATCGGTTCCATAACGTTTCCATCGATTGAGATTCTTATCCCACCCCAGAATATGACCATCCGACCATTTAGCAGAATATATCGTACCATAACCACCCTTCGCCACATAATCAACGTTTTTAAATTTATTATAAGGTATCCATTCTAATACATATTTGCTATTTTTAGCAGATAATTGAGCGTTCCTTATTATTTTATCAATATTTTCATTTTCACTTCTCCATTTATCAAATTGAGAACGAAAATGTTCAGAATTACAAGATTGACACCAATTATCATCACCAGTATTTGGACGTTTACATTCAGCACATTCACCAAATTTGTCTAATAAATCTTTACGTGTTGAAGAAGATATAACATTCGTGTTATTATTTGAGAATTGTACGGTTGAAGCTCTTAACTTTGAAGAGGATATTGATACAGCTTCAGAATTACCACCTTCAACAAAATTATCATCATCATAACGATGATCTTGTTCATCATTTGTTAATACTTCTTCGTTATGTGTTAATCCAGTAGTAGTCTCATTTTTTGATGTCGTACGTTCCGGATCTATTCCTACTAATTTTTCTGATTTTTCTTCTACAAAAGTTTCTTTTAATTGTACGGTAGTTGTGACATTTGTTTGTTCAATTACTTGAGTTTCTGACATTTTTTTTTTAATTTATCTAATGGAAAAAAAAAAATCATTTATGAAATAAATAAATAAATAAATAATAAATAATTATTTTATTAATTATTTTCGATTAATTAATTTACCTTAAAATTTATCGACTTTTAATTATTTTTTTTAAAAGGAAATCCAGGAAATCCAATAAAAAAGTTTTTTTTAAATATAATTTTTTATTTCGGTACCGAATATATACAGTAGTATATACATTTATTTTATCGGAGTATATATATCGGAGTTCGCTTACTGCGGCACGCGGATAAAGACAATAGATGTAGAGTATTTTCTAGTTAACTTCTAATTTTGGTGAACCGGTCACAAATAAAATGATTTTTTTTTAAAAAAAAGGGGGTGAAAAAAAAATATATATATATATATATATATATTTTCTTACTAACTGAAAATAAAAAGAAAAATAGAAACGTAAAAAAAAAAAGAGAGAGAGAAAAAAATGCGAACTTCCACGCTATATAAATTTTTTTTAAAAAAGTGTAATCATGCATGAAAATTCGCCAAGCCGTAAGTTTTTTTTTTTATTGATTTTTATAGTAAAATATTAATTAGGAAATTTTTATGGCGTTCTTTTTTCTATTAACGTCATTAAACTTTTTCGTTGAAAGTCTCATGATTTTTTAGTAGTTTCATGTTCCCGTACTAATCTATTATTAGGTTCATTTGATATTCCCCTTTTTTTCTTTCTTTAAAATTTTTTTTTTTTTTTTTTTTTTTTT